ATATTTTAGGCTATAGGGATTTGAAGATATAAAAGCTTGGAGATCCAGCAATTCGGGGCTCTAGAGACTAGGGGATCCAGGGATTAATAGTCCAGAGGTTTGTGTTATCTATGGATATAGGAACTTATGAATTTGGGGATTCGAAAAATTTGAGAATTTGGAAATTTGAAAGTTTGATAATTCATCTTCTTTATCTACATATGTATGTCTACACACGTATACTTGCGGTCAACGAATGACCATTCGAATCCATTAAAGGAGGAACCGAACATTAGCGAAAAGAGCGGGTGGAGTCGATAAAATTATGAATGGTAGACAGGAATAGATGACTCAAAGAGAAATGGCATAGGGAGAACGAGAGTGATGTGGCCCATTCGATCGATATTAATCTTCGGCCCGTATTAGGAGTGCCGGAACTAAAGGCATTGGTATGCAAGACGATGAGTAAGAAAAGTGAAAAACGAGAGTAAGAGAATCCTTTTGCGTGTTGTTCGCCGTTCACGTCGCACACTTACAGTCATAAAGAATAATTTCAAAATTGCATCGCGACGCGAGAAAGTAAGTAGCTAAAGGTCCGGTAGTGACTCATTGTCAATTGGTGGGAGGCTGGCCGGAACAGAAAATTCACGTGTAGGAGGTGAAAGTGACTTAAAGAGACCATGGTCGCTCGATGGATGTCATCGGGTCATCTGAGAAACCTTTTCGAAGTACACGGAGATGGTGCAGGATCTCTTGATGCAGAATCTCTTTTCATAATGCCGAATTTTATAATTTTGCAGTCTTATATCGTAGTACGTTTACGGCAATATAGCGAGAGTCTTCTGTATTTACTTTAAAAAATACTACAATGGTCTATAGATGACTTGTGATGATATAACGAGAGAATTATTTATTGCTAGAAGTGTTCTATAGTAATTTTGTCTTTGGCAATATAACAAGAGTCAACTGTATTTATTTTTCAAGAAATACTCCAATGATCCATAGGTGACTCGTGGTGATATAACAAGAAAATTATTTATTGCTAGAAGTGTCCCATAGTGATTTTGCATATGGCAATATAACAAGAGTCTTCCGTATTTATTTTAAAAAATACTCCAATGGTCCCTCGATGACTCATGATGTAATAACGAGAGAATTATTTATTGCTAGAAGTGTCCCACGATGATTTTTGTTTATGGCAATATAACAAGAGTCTTCTTAAAATGATTCTATGAACAGTGATACCCTCACGGTGATATAACAAGTCTTTCATTTTTATTTTTAGTGGAAGTTTATAAACCGTTCCTGGATTATGTCACGAACAAGTTCATTAAATTTTCATGTGCAACATTTTCGATTGCACTTTTTAATCGTTTTGTTAATTAATTCACGAGTCATTCTCGTATCATGTGGTTAATTAAAGAGAAAGTTTTAGAATCAATATATCCTCGTCAAGAGATAGATGAGAACAGACGTGTGTAACTTCAGCAGGGAAATACAAATTGACTATTACTCATAAATCATCACATGACTTTTTCCCTTTTCAAATGTGTAATAACGGCTATTAATCTTCGTAGCGAATCGTTATCGTGGCAATTTCATCTTAGCTTTTCATTATTAAGAGTTGAAACAATTGTTGACTCATTAGAAAAATGGACTAAGGTGTTCTTGTATTTGATCTAAAAATAGTCTCAATTCGATTTCGGAGTTAAGACTTTCATTGTAGAAATTGTTCACTTGACATGCAATAATTAGACATTTTATATTAAAACATCAACGAAGTGTATGCAGAGTCATTTTCATCGATGTTGATGTTTCAAATTGATATGTTAAAGGTACTGTTTTTAATGAATCTTTGTTATTAAATTTTAAATAGTAAACTCTAAGTTTTAAAGTTTATCACTCGATATACGACAATTTTAGCTTTGTAATTGATAATAATATTTCCATGTTTCACTCATAATTAGTAATACTAATTATATTACTGTTTATATCATTTTATGCTCGTAAGATTTATTCGTACTCCTCTGCGCAAGCGCAGACTTCACGTAATCTGCGCATGCGCGTGATCTGCGCAGTAGATATGCGCAGACTCATCTTAAGAAACATACTGTCAACTTTGGTTTTAATTTCCATCGATTTACTTTGTAATTTAAATATGTGTGTTTCAAGTTTGATAAGATTAATATTGTTTCATATTAAGAATATTAACAAAACATTCATGCAATTTACACTTATTATTTATGCAAATTGCATTTACTATAAATATCAGACTTTCTATCTAACAAAGACAGTAGTTGTTCGTATATTTGCAGTATAATTTGTTACAACAATAAATGTTTGAATAATTATCCATTTTATAATAATGAATCATTATGATAATTTAGATCAAACTTCAAGTAGAAATAGCATAAGAATTTTTCTGCATAAATTTTATACCACAAAAGAATTTCAAACTTTCTACATCTCCGTCCATTTGATATGCAATCTAATGTTCGCACATCAAAATGACGCGTCGAATACGCGACGTTTTCTCGCAATTCGTATGTCCGTGAACAGCTCGTTTATTGGCTCGCTAAAAGCGTTAAAAGCGGAGCTTATTCAGACATTCTTTGAGGAACATGGCGCCGTCGGCGCTGAGGTTAAAACCGTTCCTCGCGTGATTAGCATATAGGCACACTGACATACTAAGATCGAGTATCTACATGCTTTCCTTTTTTTTTCCTCTCTTCTTTTCGATTTTGGAACCTCAGCTTCCGAAACGGCAAACACGGCTCTACCTTAGACACACGGAATTCAAAAGTGCCCTCGGGCTCTTTTCGTTTAACAAAACTCTCGAATTTTGAGGTCGGTGAGTTTAACTGACTTTCATTGTCGTTAAAAGAGAAATTCGTCTTTGTACCGTGGCGATCTCTTTAAAAATATGTACTCCTTTCAAAGAAGAAGGACATGTACAAAAATTGTCTGTAGATAAATTACACAATTTTAAAATAGGATCATGTAGAACAATTATTTATTTGAAAGATAAATTGATGAAAGAGTGAATGAATATCTGAGATCTTACTATAAGTTTTATTTAATTTATGAGAATGGAAAATGTTTAAAATATATTTTGTGATAAAACAATATGGCGGTAGGTTAAGAAAGAAACAATTTAACTATTATATTTTTCAGAACAATTTAATTGTTAATATTTTTTAATACATTATTAAATAGCATAATATCTGATTAATGTTTCTAAATGATTATATAAAATTTTTCTGGAGTATCTTTGAAAAGAAATAAATGTCTTTCCGTGTCTTTTCCTTGACGTTGCACGGTTTGATGCGAACGATTGTGGTAATTATATGTTTTTGATAAATGACGATTTGTGGTTCCGGTGGGTTCACAAGGATGTGAATTCGGGCCCAAGAGAAACGGTCTCCAAGTAAATGCAACGTTACGAAGCGATTTAAACGCGAAGGTGAACAAGAAACGCGATGAAATTTCGAGAAAGGTTCGTCAATTGCGACAAACGAGCACAACTTTCACTCCATTTGAACGAGCTGTGTGGGCCACGACGTGTTCGTCCTCATGAAAATTTCCTGACTAAACCATCCGATACGTGATCAAATAACATAATTATAATTAACACGTGTAATTGGCTTGTAACCGTTCCATCAATGTTAAGGATAATTTGTTAAAACTATTAAGAATCTGAAGGTCCGTTGTCGAGGCTACTCGTGAATTCATAATTAAGGTATCAGATATGCTTGTTTAATATTCATAATGGGATGAATTGATTTATCTGTTTCAAGTTATAGATATTTATCTGAATACTTAACATATTTATCCGAGTAATATACTTAACATATTTATCCGAATAATATACCAGAATATGTCAGTTCTGATATATCAGAATTATATTTATATTCACTGCCCTACATTTTAACTGATAGTCCCCTCTCGATTTTGATGAAAGTGCAGATTTCTGAACAGCCAAAAATAAAAGACATCTACACACATATTATTTATCTATATTTTAGCACATACTCTAAATTCCGACATTTTATGCACCCAAGTCTCGAAAGAGTCTCTGTCCCGATGACCGAGAAGGATTTATTTCCACTCGCGATAATTACAATCGCGTGTAAGTGTGCGTACTCGTACACGTCGCACGAGGTCGTCAGGGTGAAAAGAGGAAAGAAAGTCAAGTGAACGATTCGGTGACCCAAAAATTGGCGAAGGTGTCGCGGGAACGGTTTCGCTGCAGGCCTACGCCCACGAAAACGATTGTTTCCATGACACGACGTCGCGATGTCTGCCGGTGCACAATTGGCGCTAACGATCGGGCAATTGGGTACATCCAGGTGTGCCCTCTTTTTCGATGTATCGCCGGTGGCCGATCGGGGGATGCACAATTAGCCAGTTAATAAACCGAATGCGATTCTTTTACGTTTGCGACGGGCATCGTAATTAGTTGGCCGCGGATATTGTATGTCCGGAGAAAGTTCGCTCAAGGTGAATCGCGACGATGAAATAATGACTAGTTTGATGACGGTGTGCTACAACGGGTATTTTCATGGTGACGGAAGAGAGTAATTGACATGGGGTTTGACACTTAGGTTAGGTTTGAAAATTTGTTAGGTTAAGTTACAAATTTTTATATTTAGTTTATTTGAATTTATTCATTTTTTTTAAGTTGTTGGAACAATGTAATAAAGTGCTATGATGTACAATAATGCTCAGCAATATACTATGTGTAATCAGATACATGTGTATATGTGTATGTATATGTATATGTACATGTGTATCTATATGCATATGTATATGTATATTTACTACGTGGTACATACATAATATGTATATGTATATCACCTTGTATATCAATGTATAATATGTAGTAATATATGTATATAACATGTGTATTATCATACATACATATATGTACCCAACAAAAATTAATAACAATCAATCAATAATAATAATAAGTAAAATACAGAAATTTTAACAAATAATTATCAACAAAATAGCTTGTTACATTCATGATTAATTTATAACTGTTGATATACATTATTGAAAATATATTGCATAATTACATGTAAGTCTTACAATTCTATCGACGTCCATCAACGCAACTTTCTTGACATGTATGTTATTGATTGCAACGATGGTGTACCACTTTTCTCAACGTTTCTTGATGATGATACACGACTCACTATGTGGGTTAATCCGTTTTTGCATAACATCATCGTTACCTCTTTAAAATCTCGTTAAGTCCTCATTGATTTCTAACTTTCAGAAAAGGAGATACCTCTTTACGCACTTGTTTAATAGATAACAATTGTGGTACATTATGAGAGTTGATTAAGGTATCAGTTTTCTGACTTGTTTAGGTAAATGATGTGGAGGTATGTGGATGTATGTGGAGGTATGTGGAGGTATGTGGACGTATGTGGACATATGTGGACGTATGTGGACGTATGTGGAGGTATGTCGAGGTATATGGACGTATATGGACATATGTGAATGTATGTGGAGGTATGTGAAGGTATGTGGAGGTATGTGGACGTATGTGGACGTATATGGACATATATGGACATATGTGGATATATGTGGAGGTATGTGAAGTTATGTGGATGTATGTGGACGAATGTGGACGTATGTGGAGGTATGTGGACATATGTGGACGTATGTGGACGTATGTGAACTTATATGGACGTACGTGGATGTATGTGGACGTATGTGGACGTATGTGGACGTATCATAAATCTCAATGTATAATTATTTTTTATGTATAATAATTCCTCTTGTATATTTCTTTACAGTTATTAAGTTTGTGGGTGCAGGTAAAGTTAAGTTAAGGTTAAGTTAAATTATATAAATTCATTTATGAAATTTATAAATAAACTTTATTAAAAATTTTCATTTCAACGAAAACTTAACCTAAATTACACTACGTACACCTAACCTAACCTACCTAAATTAAATTGTTGTAAAATCTCATTGCTACTAAAATTAAGTTTAAATTACTTCCCAATCAGTCTTTTTGAAAGACATCTCTTATCACCTCTTTTGAACCGTCCTGTACAATTCGTACGCGTGCTACACCTTATTTACAAAAAATTACTTATCCTGTCATTGACTGTAAATATTAATAACATAATATAGATGTTAACTCGTTATCAAAGATCAGTAAGTTGCATCGAGGTAGAAAATTCGTGATGTTAATTGGATGGGCGCGGTAAAGTTCTCGATGCGATTTCGGCAGTCGAAAGTGTGCCAGAACTAAATCCTCCGTTCGACTTAAGATCGAAACTACCATGAAATTGACTGTGAACCAACACTCCCTGAATTCCTACGATTCGGCAGTTCAAAGCGAAAAATCGGTCAAACGCGATTCAATCGGATTCTTTCACGTACGCTGCAGCGGTGTATCGAAAATGGCGGCCCGTCATAAAACCCACCCAATTTTCTGCGATGTTTGCAAACGTCTTCGTCAGCAAACATGCGATTGCTTCGGTTTATCGGAAACAAAGGAACAAGAGCTGTTACTTCGACAACTCCATGAATTACTGATGAAAAATATTTTATTTACAGTTGAGAACATTTACAATTTAGAAATTAGCAATCCTATTTTATTAGTAAAATATGTGTCTAGCGTAAAAATATTTTATTTTACCAATGTTTAACAATACGATCATAAAGTCAGCTTGCCTGTCAAATATTTTTAAATAAGCAATTTGAAATATTTAAAGAAGCAGTTCAACTATATCTTCATATTCTGAATTCTTAAATAAAAAGAATGTCTAAATTCTTAAATTAGAGATTTAGTTATATTATAAAAAAATGAAGGTTAATAATAAAGTGAGTTATATAATTTATTGTATCAAAATGTTCATATGAACATGATCGTTTATTCGAATCACAGAAACGAGATAAATCTGTTATCATGTCCGAGCACAGGAAAGACTCACAAATCCGTATCCATCGGATTCCATGTAATCGAAAAACAATTTAGCCGATGAAATCCCAGAGATTAGAATGTAATCTCGATAGACTTAATTGCATCACTGATTGGATGCTTCAATAGCCGTTTCGAGCAAGTAACAGTAGTCTTTGCAGAACCTGGGTAATTTCTAGGCAACAAAAAGCGAGTGTTTCGCTCTCAATTTCGAAAGACGGTCTATTAGTATTCAATCTGAGGCAGCGGTATCATAGTCATGATTGTAATCGTTCGTTTATTTCCAGAAATACTGTACAGTCATTCCTCTTTAATCTACTATGTACAGCTTTGAGCATGGTAGACTCTTTTAGGGAACATGTGGAGATTCGAGCATTTGGAGATTTAGGAACTTGAGAATTTTGGAAATCTAGAGATTTGAAATTTTAGGGATTTGGGAATTTAGGGATTTGGGAATTTAGGGATTTGGGAATTTAGGGATTTGGGAATTTAGGGATTTGGGAATTTAGGGATTTGGGAATTTAGGGATTTGGGAATTTAGGGATTTGGGAATTTAGGGATTTGGGAATTTAGGGATTTGGGAATTTAGGGATTTGGGAATTTAGGGATTTGGGAATTTAGGGATTTGGGAATTTAGGGATTTGGGAATTTAGGGATTTGGGAATTTAGGGATTTGGGAATTTAGGGATTTGGGAATTTAGGGATTTGGGAATTTAGGGATTTGGGAATTTAGGGATTTGGGAATTTAGGGATTTGGGAATTTAGGGATTTGGGAATTTAGGGATTTGGGAATTTAGGGATTTGGGAATTTAGGGATTTGGGAATTTAGGGATTTGGGAATTTAGGGATTTGGGAATTTAGGGATTTGGGAATTTAGGGATTTGGGAATTTAGGGATTTGGGAATTTAGGGATTTGGGAATTTAGGGATTTGGGAATTTAGGGATTTGGGAATTTAGGGATTTGGGAATTTAGGGATTTGGGAATTTAGGGATTTGGGAATTTAGGGATTTGGGAATTTAGGGATTTGGGAATTTAGGGATTTGGGAATTTAGGGATTTGGGAATTTAGGGATTTGGGAATTTAGGGATTTGGGAATTTAGGGATTTGGGAATTTAGGGATTTGGGAATTTAGGGATTTGGGAATTTAGGGATTTGGGAATTTAGGGATTTGGGAATTTAGGGATTTGGGAATTTAGGGATTTGGGAATTTAGGGATTTGGGAATTTAGGGATTTGGGAATTTAGGGATTTGGGAATTTAGGGATTTGGGAATTTAGGGATTTGGGAATTTAGGGATTTGGGAATTTAGGGATTTGGGAATTTAGGGATTTGGGAATTTAGGGATTTGGGAATTTAGGGATTTGGGAATTTAGGGATTTGGGAATTTAGGGATTTGGGAATTTAGGGATTTGGGAATTTAGGGATTTGGGAATTTAGGGATTTGGGAATTTAGGGATTTGGGAATTTAGGGATTTGGGAATTTAGGGATTTGGGAATTTAGGGATTTGGGAATTTAGGGATTTGGGAATTTAGGGATTTGGGAATTTAGGGATTTGGGAATTTAGGGATTTGGGAATTTAGGGATTTGGGAATTTAGGGATTTGGGAATTTAGGGATTTGGGAATTTAGGGATTTGGGAATTTAGGGATTTGGGAATTTAGGGATTTGGGAATTTAGGGCATCGGGAATCTAGGGAATTCCAACTCTAGGAAATCGGGAATCTAGGGAATTCCAACTCTGGAGAATCGGGAATCTAGGGAATTCGGAATCTGGAAAATTTTTACTCTATGGAATTTCTAATCTAGGGAATTCCAACTCTAGGAAATCGGGAATCTAGGGAATTTGGAATCCAGGGAATTGGGCACCTAGGGATTTATTAACATAAAAATTTAAAAACCTCGGAAATTTGAAAACTTATGATGTTGGAAACTTTCAAAATTCATATCCCCCTCTCCATATATTGCAATTTTCCTTAACAGAACTATCATGCATCACACTTCGCTTTGGCTTCTTATTTCCCCAGAGAAGGTCTCGAAAATTTGAATTTATATTTGTATACAAAATACCTTACGAAAGCGTAGCAACCATTACGAAGATTTACATCTTCATTTTGAGAAAAAGCCGTTTACGTTCCGAAATAAAAGGAACGATATCACGCAATCTTGCGGGCGTAACGGATGATAACGGTAACGACGTTGGAAGCTTAACCGAAAGCGAACGATAAATTTCGAAATATTGTCTTTCTAGCTGGTTCTCCAGGGAAATTACAACGATTCGTGGATCGCGAGCGCGAATCGTATCCTAATTAGCGCGCATTCCGTACACCCGGCCCCGTTAATTTCACCGGATCCCGGCGGCACGCGTTTCCGATTCCGGAAGAAAGCTAACCGAACGAATTTAGCGTCGACTCGAACGGTGAAATTGCGCAATTTTTCCACGAGCATTGACGTCAGCGACCATTCACGAGAGCTGCGTTCGGCTTTCACACGGATCTTGCTTTGTCGTCCGTCTATCTATACAGGGTGTCCACTAACGTCACTAACAAACTTACATCACACATTCCTTAATCATAAAAATACTACCAAATGTGAAAGGGTTATGGTGAAATAAAAATCATATGTAACGTTAACCATTTGCGATATGATTTATTTGTCAGATGAGATTCTAGGGAGGTGGGAATCTAGGGATATTTTAGAATCTGGCGGTCTTTTGGGGTTTGGAGGTATTTTGGGATTTGGAGATATTTTGAGATCTAGGGATTTAGGGATTTATGGATACTGGGATTTAAGGATCTAGGGATATTGGGATCTAGGGATCTAGGGATCTAGGAATCTTGGGACCTAGGGATATTGGGATCTGGATATATTGGGATCTAGGGTTCTTGGGATCCTGGGAATCTTGGGATCTTGGGATATTGGGATCTTGGGATCTTGTGATCTAGGGATCTTGGGATCTAGTGATTCTTGGGATCTAGGAAGTTTGAAATCTAGAGAATTTGGAATCTAGGAAATTTGGAATCCAGAGAATTTGGAATCTAGGGAGTTTGGAATCTAA